CGTGCAAAACTTGGCGACGTAGCCTGAGGTATTCCCTCGCACTCGGGGCTTCCTCAGGACTTGCGTCCTGACCCTTTTGCACTTGTCGTCAGGGCTCTTCGTCGCGATCCGCGTCGTCAGCCTGTGCTCGAACAGCTCCCGTCGAGTTGGTGGTCCTGCCCATTGCCTTGTCGGGTCGGTCCTGCAGGGCCCACTCCCTCGCCTCCTCCAACCAGGTCGGGGCGCTCCCTCGCCTCGCTGGGCCACGGTGGTAGTCCTGACCCATCTCCCTGGTCTTGTAGCGGTCGAGCGGCTGGAAGAAGTGGGCCACGTCGCCGTCGATGTGCAATCCGTGGACGTCGCTAGGCGACTCGCCAAAGCGCCACCTTATCTGCTTCGCCAGTGCGGTCGCGATGGCCTGGCACAACCTGTTCGGGTACGCCTTGGCCGCCGCGGTGCGCCACTGGCCGTCGTCGTTGATGCCCGCCAGCTCCGCGTGGTAGGCCGTGTGGAAGCACCTCCCACCTCCAGGCAATCTGCTGATTTCTGTTCGGAGAGTTGGTAGGGATACCGCCAGCAGGCTTGTGGACTTCCTCGAACGCGCTCCACAGGTGCACTGGTCGAATGTGATCAGCTCGACTCCCTGCTGGTCCAGGAGGTGGCGCGTCTCGGGGAGCCTCCAGGAGCTGGCGAAGTGCTCCTCGGTGGGCTCGCACGGGTGCTCGAGCATGCCTGGGACTCCAAGGTTGAGGCACATGTACATGAGCTCCAGCTGTGTCCTGTCTAGGCGATTGCCTATCGCTACTTGTTCCATCTCTGGACGGGAAAGGTAGCGAAGGCCCCACAAGCTGCTGCTGCTTCTTAGGGGTCGTGGTGGGCGATACCTGCAGTCATTGGGGGGCAGGTGGCGCGCTCGGCTCCAGGTCTCGCACGGCGGTCCGCCGATGACTCCTGCAATCCTCCCTGCTTGTGCCATGCCTCGCCACTTGTTGACTGCGACTTCTGATGTCAGGTCGCCGAAGGTCGGGTCGTTGGCGATGTCCAGGCTGAGCATGTGTATGTCGCATGAAGCCCGACTGCTAAGACGGTCGAACCAATCCTGAACATCTCCCTCTCGGCGACGGCCGCTGAACAGATGCAGCACGTATAGAGTCCGAGCTGGCCTGGGCCTGGGTACAGCAGCTGGCGGCGGCGGTGGCTCCTCGATGAAGGGGAGCTCGAGGCTCTCGTAGTGGCCGCCATTGCTGTCGTCGCTGTCCTCGTCCGTGTGTATTTCTGGAGGACGAGCAGGGACTGCAGGCTTCTCTGCCCAGTCGATGGGCCTGCCCGCCCTTATGTTCGCCTGCTGCTGGTCGCGCACCACTTGCTGGTTGTGCTGCAGCTCGGCTTTGCTGAGGAGTGCTGGACGTGTCTTTCGCCAATGTCGAGCGCACCTGCGCACTCGCAGCAAGTGCTTGACCAGCCTGTTTGTGGTGTGGTAATCCATGCCGCATCCGTAGCAGACCGAACCAGTTGCCCACGAGATAAGATGCCCCGACGAGGTGTGGTCCTTGGTGATGTGGGCTCGTAGCACTGCTGCGCTGAGTTCAGTACGTCCGCGGTGGTAGCATAGGTACTTGCGCTGCTGCTCGAAGTGCTGGTCTGGGAAGGGCGAGATGGCTTCCGTGTTGGTCCACCGCTGGAGTCGTAGCCGCCATCGAGCGTGGTGGTCGTGATCGTACTGGCGGGCTTTGCCACGTTGGCAAGCTTTCTTGGCTGCGCTGAGGTAGCTTTTGTAGTCGTTCCTGGCCCAGTCCTTCCAGTCTTCGAGCGTGTATGCTCCACCACGCTCGTCAGGTCCTGTGTGGTCGCGGACCCAGTCTAAGTCGCGGCGGAGCAGTGCCACCCAGCCGTAACTACCATCCCATGCTTGGCTGAGTAGTCGGCGGAGGTGCAGGGGTCCCCAGTTGAGGCATCTACCGGATAGTCGTAGCCGCTCAAGACGTAGGGCTATCTCGGGGGGCAGCTTGTCGACCCCTTCGAGGATCTGGGTGTTCGTGACCACCTTTTTCTGTCGTACTTTCCAAGTGATCCTCTGCGCGGCAGCGTAGTTCACGATATACTGGTTGTTGAAATTCCTGGCCTGGCCTGCTGTGAGTTCAGGCCAGGTAGACGCATTGTATAGCAGCTGGGATAGCACCACACTGTCGGCTAGGTAGGCCTTGTCTTTGATGGCCAGCTCTGAGCGACGGTGGACTTCGCGATGGAGAGGCCTCGTGGATGTCGCAGCGGTGGCTACCTTCACTGCGACATCCACCCCAGGGGATGCATCGTCGGTTGCGTAGGTCCCGAGGAGCTTGTGGTGGCGGACAACCTCGACGTAGCTCTCTGCGAGAGGGACCTCGATCCTCGGCACTCCATTGGAATAGAAGCTGGCCCGAGCTTGCCGGCTCCCAGGCCCACTGAAGTCGATCATCACCTTGGTCTTGGTGAGCTGCAGCTGGAGGCCGAAGGTGCTGGTGGCGCAGTAGACGGCTTCGCAGAACCCCGTGGCCTCGGACTGAATGTGATCGGGGCTGGTGAACACGTGCATGCCCGTGAGGTCGTCGACGAACGATAGGCCGTGAGGTTCGTGCTCCTGGAGTGGTCCGTCTGTGGGGTCGGTGTCGCATGCGAAGCTGCTGTCTAGGGGCTTGCCCTGGGGCCTCCTCCTCCTCTTCATCCCCCTCCCCCTCCTGCTTCTGGCGGCCAGACGAGGAGGGAGGAAGAGAAGAAGTCAGCTAGCAAGGGCGCCCTCGAGGGCGCGAAGTTGTTCGCGCTTCGCGCATCGGCTCCGATTCCTCCGCATCCTCCTCTTTTCCCCTGGGATGCGGCGCGAGAGCGCGAAGTTGCTCGCACTTCGCGCTTCGCGCAGCGCGAAGCGCGAGGTTGGGAGCCCCTGGCTAGCCAGAGGGGAGGAGGACGGAGGGAGAGAGAGAGGGGGGAGCGGCCGAGGAAGGAGGGAGGGCGAGGCGATCGGAACAGAGGCCAGGCCAACCAAGGAGGAAGGAAGAGGACGGAGGAGGAGGAGAAGGAGGAGGAGGCGGAGGAGGAGGAGGTGGAGGTGGAGGAGGAGGAGGAGGAGGAGGAGGGGGAGGAGGAGAAGCAGGAGGAGGAGGAGGACGGAGGCAGAGGGTCAGGCGGAGAAGCTGCTGCAGTCTCGTGCCGCTCTCGTGCGCTGCACGCGTCCATCTCTTCCGCGTCCCCCGCGCGAGTCGTACCCATCGGCGGTTGATAATTCGTAGGTGTGTTTGGACTCCCAGGTTCCGATCTACTTTCAGTGCCTTCCTGCTTCAATGATCGAGTGGTTTCACCTGTTCTTTCCTCTTCAGGGGGCGGGCGGAACCCAATCTACGTTCAACGCCTTCCTACATCATGTTTCTACTTACTTGTTTCTGACCGATGGGTAATGGTGGCTTCGGCAGTCTCCTTTGAGGGGCCGTTAAGGCTGTTCCCGAACGGATAATCATTGGCCGCGGGGGGGAAGATCGAATCAGTGCACGTCGCACATACCCGAATGACAAAAACAACACGGCCCGAGACATCATTTCTCTGAGGTCCGTGCGGGATCTTCGGGTCGATGTTGCGCCCCCCCCCCCCCCCTGGCGGCGCCTCCGGCTCCGCCCGGCGCCGATCCAAAACATGCAGCGCGGACCCCCGAGACATTACATGCTTGCCTTTGCTTTGCTCCTCGAACATCGTTGCCCACCCATCTTAGCTCGTCAATCACGCAAGGTCTCGATCGTGTGCAGCCTGCCGGGGCATCGGCGATGCTCCACGTGTCAGTTTGGCCACGAGGTGCCGCTCTGGTCTCGTTCTCTTGATTATGACTCCCGGCCACCCCCGGTCAGGTTTGCTTCCAGTTGCTTCCGCCCTCCTGACTGCCACGCTGATGTGGACCCTCGGCCTGCAAAGGGTACTCCAGATTTCGTAATCTAGGGAGGGGGTCTCATTTCGGGGGGGGGGGTCTCTTCCAGGCTATCTTGGAGGGCCTGGGGGGTCTGGGGACGATGTTTTGGAGGGTTCTCCCACGGGGGAGGTCTGAAACGGCTTGTCTTGGAGGGTCCAGACCCCCTCCCTTTTATTACGAAATCTGGAGTACCGTGAGAAGCGGCAGCTGCTCTGTAGACGTGGGTGGCGGGAGGAGTTCTGCGATGGGGGGATGGGGAAGATATGGCGACGGTCGTTTGCACTGCCTGGACACTGTAAGCTCTCCAGCTTGCTTGACGACCCTGCGTGGTGTCGGGCCTCGGTTGCCCACTCGGTCGGTGTCCCTCCGCCGCCGTGCCTTCCTCTTGCCTTCGCTTCGCTTCGCTTTCGGGCCCTCCTCTGGTCCCCGCTCGTCGCTGTGATGAGCGTTCTGGAGCTAGCGCTTGACCCCAACCCACGTCCAAGACAGAACAGTGCCGCTCCACGATCTCCCAGGATTCCCCGTTGCTCTAGACGGGCGCCGAAAACGAGGCCATCCAGACGCCCCAGAATGCCTGGGACGCAGCCTGAGCCCATTCGCATCACGACACCGTTCGACTCGCCCTGCCTCGGTCGGAAAGGGCTACGACGAGCAGAAACCCGTTCCAGAGCGCTGCGGAACGCTCTCAGAGCGTCCCGGAACTCTCCGAGAGGGCCGCGGCGCCCGAGACATCTTCCAGAGCCGCTGGATCTCAGGGATCCCCGACGTATCCTCCCCCGAGTGTATCCTCGCCCTGGCCTTGTCCTATACCCCTCGGCTCGCCCTGTCTCGCGGCTGGCCTGCCCGCATAGAAAGGACGGGCAGCCTCCCCAAGGGTGCCTCTGCATCCTTGCCTCCTGGGTCCCTCCTTGGCCGCTTTCGCTGGCCAACCTCGTTCGAGAAACGTTCACGCGGCCCTCCAAGGCCCTTGCACCCTCACCGCACATGCTAATTGTACGGGTTGACTGCACTTCGCATCAAGACACCACTCGACTCGCCCGGTCTCGTTCGGAAAGGGCTAGGACGAGCACAACTCCGTTCAGAGCGCTCCGGAACGCTCCCAGAGCGTCCCGGAACTCTGCGAGAGGCCGCGGCGCCCGGGACATCCTCCAGAGCCGCGGGTTCTCAGAGATCCTCGAGTTATCCACCCCCGAGTGTATCCTCGTCCTGGCTTCGTCTCACGCCTCGTGGCCGGACGGACGACGACGGACGACGACGACGACGACGACGACGACGACGACGACGACGACGATGTCGACGGCTCGCCCTGCCGCGTGGCTGGCCGAACGGCGGACGGAGGTCTGGAGGCGCGCCCTGGGCCCGCTCGCCGCCGCGGAGCCGCGCGCGGCCGAGGAGGCCGCGCCCGAGGCCGGCGGACCCCCGGCGGCGACGGCGACGGCGGCGACTTGGGCGCTGCGTAATGGGGGGGTCATAAATGGGGGGGCGGCGAGTGTGGCCCGAAAAGGTACCCAAACGGTACCTAAACGAGCCCCCCGCGGCTCCGGAGGGGCCCGAAAGGGGCACGAAAGGGGACCTTTTCTGACCCCCCCATTTGTGACCCCCCCATGAAGCCACGCCCAAGCGACGACGACGACGAAGGAAACGACGACGACGACGACGACGACGACGACGTCGATAACGACGGTGATAACAACGACGACGACGAAGAGGATCACGACGACGACTAGAACCACGAAGGCGACGGCGACGACGGCGACGGCGACGCCGACGACGGCGAGGACGACCCCGGGACGACGACCACAGACAACGACGTCTGGAGAAGATCAGGGCGGAGGTTCCGAGCCACGCCGCGGCCCCCCGGGCGCGGCGTCCCGAGAGCACCGGGAGGGTCGAGGGCGCTCTCGCCCTCCGCACGGGGCCTCGTGGGGGGGCCGTGCCGGGGCCCGGCCTCGGGAGCAGCGGGGGGCGTGCATCGGGGCTGGTGGACGTGTCGGCTGCCCTCGTGCGTCTCCGGGGCAAGGCTGGGGGGGGGGGGGATAGGCACACCGTCAGCCCGCAGAGGAGAGGTGAGCAGCTGTGCAGGGGCTCCCGTGCACCCTTGCCTCCTCGGCCCCTCCACGGGGCCGTGCCAGGGCCTGGATCTCGGGAGCAGCGGGGGCGTGCGTCGTGGTGGGTGGACGTGTTGTCCGCCCTCGTGTGTCCACGGTAGGTTTGTGTCGTGTCGACCGGCGGCGACCCCGCCAGCGGCGTTCCATTTGGAACGCCGCGGGCGACCCAGAGTCGTTCGATGTGGAACGATTTGGACGTTTCGGAAGCGGCCGATCGTTCAAGGTTGAACCATCCCCGCGGTGTCAGAAACCAACGCCGAAGTCGGCACGACACGAACCTGACGTACGGGGCAACGATGGGGGGGGATAGGCATATTGGCGCGAGCGAAATGGGTACGGAAAGAATGGGTACCTCGCCCACCAGCAGTTCTTGTTCATGTTGAACAGGACTCGCTGTCTGCGCCGCCTCGCCCTATGTCCATTTGAAACAGAAGGCCGCCTGCCCAACAGCGGCCGCTGTTGGTTTGGGGCAACACTTGTTGTTTGGGCATTGTACCTGTTTTGGTCCGTACCCATTTCGGGCGTCCAAAACATACAGTCAGCCCACATAGGAAGGACGAGCAACTGTCCAAGGTTTCGCCCATCCTCGGCCCATCATTGCCTCTTCGGCCCATCCTTCGCTGCTAGTGCTGGTCGCGCCCCGCTCGCACAGTGCCGAGATGGCCCTCCAAGGCCACTGCATCCTGGATCTGCATCCTCATCGTGCGTCCTTGGTATGTTGGTTGATGTAGGGGGGGACGCGTCGACCCCCGATCGCCCGTTGACCGCCGAGAAGGGCCCGATAGCCCCAACCTGCCCAGGAACGTTCGGATTCACTTCTGGGGGCCTATCGCGGATCTATCGGCGATGTATCGCCGATTCCAGGTCGATGGTTCATCCCCCATGCCTATCCCCCCCTGCTGTTACCCCTCAATGTCGTGGCGTCCTCGTCCCCTGACCTCGAGCGACTTGGACAGAAGCAATACAAAGGTTCCTCACAAGGTTGGGCATCTGGGGGCCATTCCCCAGTCCCTGGGAGCGTCAAGAGGTTGCCCCAGCAAGGCACCGCGTTAGCAGCACTGGTGACAAGACGGGTCGAGGAGTAGGAGAAGCACGGCCGGGAAGCCTGAGAAAGGAAAGATGCAGCCTGGACAGGGTTGAGAGCACGACCACGAAAACCTTACAGTGCTTGCGTTACAGGGAATACAGTCAACCCGCATAGTGAGGATGGGCAACCTCCCCAAGGGTACCCTTGCATCATTGCATCCTCGGTCCATCCTTCGCCGCTTTCGCTGGCCGCGCCCCGCTCGGAACGCTTCGAAATGGGCGTCCGAGGCCCTTGCATCCTTATCGCGCATCCTTGCTATGCTGGTTGACTGTACAGTGCCGTTTTTAATACATGCTCCGCGTGCGGATCATGTATTAAACATGTAGGGATGTAGTATTAAAACAGCGACGAGTTCATGCATAAATCTATTCATGAGGTAATCATGAACTAAAAATCCTATAGTTGTCAAAATCCGATGTATTAGAAACTGCCCTGTAGTGGCCGTCCGCACCAACAGTGTGGCTGGCATGGAGGCGAGAGGGCACGGCTTCGGAATCGAGTGCGAGGGAGTCTCGGGCGAAGCACGTCTGCCGGGCCGCTGCTGGACAAAGGCCTGGTTCGGGCAAAGGGGCCATGGTAAAACTACCCAGGATGAAAAGACTGCCCTGGAAATGTCTGGGCGCCAGCGGCTCGACAAAAACAACAAGTTGTCGGAGGTATGGGTTTTTGTCCCGAGTGTTGATCTGACATTGTCGGGGCTGTTCACTTCTGGGGGTCACCCTTCTCTTGGGGCTGTCGTCGGTGGGACAGGTCCTGGGCCTCTGGCTCTGCGCACCCTCTGAGGCTGAAGGTGGCGAAAAAGTTGCAACGATTCAAATGATCGACTGGCGGGGTGAACTCATGGCACACGGCAGGAGCATCCAAGAGCGCCCGAAGACTACCAAATCGGGGGAGCTGGCCCTTACAGTCGAGTTTGATTAGTAGGTCGACCCTGCCCAAGCAAGGGTACCCTTGTGCCCTGTGTTTCGCGACCCTTGTCCTCTACGTTCCATTGGCACTGTGGTCATCGGAAGAGCCGTGTATCCTCTCGCGTGTCCTCTCCAATCCACCCCGACTGTACGAACTTCCCCTCTCGACCGTGTGAGCCTTGGGGCGCCCCACGCCGCGTTCAGGGCGCTGAGGCGGCTAGGGATGGCGGGCGGGTTGTTCTCCTGCTCCCTCCTCCGGATCCATCTTCCAACCCCCCTTCCCTCCTCGTCCGTCTCCTTCTCCCTCCTCACTTCCTCATCCTCCCTCCTCATCCCTACCTCCTTCCTACTTCCCTCTCGCTGCTCCCCCCTCCCACCCCTCCTCCCCCTTGCACCCTCCGCTCTGCAATCTCACCCGTGCTGTTCTCTCATCTCCCACTGGACCTGTGCTTTCCAGGCCCCACCTCTCCCAGGTATTGTTTCACGCGCACGCGCACTGTGCCAATATTGGTTCGGATTGGCTTCCTTATGAAGAGGTGCAGCAGTCGAGATTCGAACACACACTTGCTTGGAAGAGTACCTCGGGACTCCCGACATGGGTACGGAACAAATGAACACGATGCCCGCAGAGAGCTTCGCCCCAAAAACCAACAGTTGCCGTTGTTGGGCAGGCGACATCTTTTCTCAGATGGAGGACGCCAGCGGCGATGCCGACAGGGAGCCCTGTTTCAAAATGGACAGGAATTGCAGTCGGTCTTCGTCCCCATTCTTTCCACACCTTCTCCGGTCGTACTGACAGGCGGCGAGCACAGGGTTCACCCATAGGTGGCGCATGTGTAGCGGCGCTGTGCGGGCGTCTCCAAGGGAGGCAGCCGAGAGAGAGGCTACGACGAGTGCCAGCCTGCGTCGCGTACCGAGGAGGTGGGAAGAGGAGTACGGACCGACGTGCAGCGGCGAGCCGTGGCGGAGTGGCAGCAGTGGCAGAGCGTGAGGCCGGCAGACCTACGCATGCAGGAATCCAAGATGTGTTTTTGCGTTTTCTCCCATCCGAACGTTGTTGGCTGTTCGAGGAGGTGATCCCGCTGCAGCGTTGGCCTCGTTTCAGGAACGGAGCTTCGCGCTTGTCCTTCCAGATGGTGCTCTCTCTCTCTCTCTCTCTCTCTTCAGAGCGTGTGATATTTCTGTTTCTGACACCTTCGTCGTTGCCGCCTCTCTTCTTTCCACATCATCCTTATCATGATCTTTGTGCTCCTCCCGGCTGGTGCTCCTCACCCTTCATCCAAGACAGGTAATCAAGGGTTGCACCCTCACTAAGAAGGGCCTCGAGAACCTTCAGCGTATCAGGCGAAGCTTTTTTACTGGCCACTGGGCCATCGGGCCCCATTTTGGAGGCTGACGACTGCCGTGATCGGCGCCAGTATGCGCGTCGCATGGTACCTGGCGCCATGTGTCTCTCGCCATGGAGGCTGCGGCGCTCAGGACACTCCAGGTCGCTCCAGCTCATCCTCCTGCTGATCCGCCACTTCCTCCACAACTCTGCACAGCCCCACTTCCTGATTGCACATCACGCGATGGGGTCGTCTGGGGGATCCAGACCCGCCAGGACACCCGTCGGCTGACAGAGACATCATGAGCGCAGTGGGAAGTGGTAAGGGATGGGTGGGAGGGGCAGCATGCCAGACGCAACGTGCGCGCGCACATGGCTTCCCTCCTCCCCACAAGTACACAATGTGAGTAATTACTTCTCTCCTCTCTCACCTGACTGGGCGGAGAGTGTACCGTCCTCGCTGCGTAATGGTTTCACAAAGGATTCCACGCTTTGGTTGCCCTATGTTTGTTTTTTTCAATCCGGTCGTTCCTGGTTCGTCCAGGAATGGTGTGTTCCCGTTGCAGCGCCGCCCTCATGTCCGCGCTTCGGCCCTTCAAGATCGTGCTCCCGCTGCAGCGGTGGCCTCGCTCCCGCGGCTCCAGACGGCACTCGGCATTCGAAAGTGCCCACATCGGGCAGGCACGGCTGCGGGGCACATGGAGCCGGCATTCCGGACAGGCCTTGTCCTCTCGAAGCCGTGCCACTTACCCTCCAAGTCAGTTGGTGCCATGCCACGGTATGCAGTTCGATGTTGTGTTGTGCACCGTTGTGCGAGGCCATGCTTTGGGTTGCTATGTGTTGTGATGCAATGCTTCACTACGCAATGCCACGCCATGCTATGACATGCTATGCTTTGCCGTGCTCTTCTACGCAATGCGTTTCATCCATCGCGTACCCTCTTGGGATCATTTCCCTGCTCGGCATCCGACTGTACGAGTAGACAGGATATCTACGCCATGGTAAGGGATGGAAGGGAGGGGTAGGACGTCAGATGTGACGCTAGCGCACCTAGCTTGCCCTCCCCCCCTCCCTCGTCCCACCTCCCCCTCCAGAAATGGGTCCTGGACCCCCACAGCCCCGGTTCTTCATCCTGAGACGTTTTCTGACAGTCCCGATGCCCGTGGAAGACTCTGGAGTCCGAATAAGACAAAAAACCTTAGTACCCGTTTCCGTCAGGATTCTTATTTCCATGAGATCCGGATTCACGATAAAATTGCAAAATCATGGAGAAGCACGGCCATAGCCCTGGACCCAACCGTTCTGCTGGATTATGTTTCGATGTTGATCGACCTCTGATGGTCCCTGGGCTCGAAGCCAGGCGGAAACGCCCAGTACGAAAGTGGAGGCCTCCCAGATGGGGTCCGAGCACATGTGGATGGAGGATCGCACCGCGTCGTTGACGCATCGACGATGCTGCTCGATGTGGAGCCCGATTTCCTCCACGCTGACGTCGCCGATGTCTCGCCGACGTCGCTGAGGCATCACCCAGTCATCGCCGATGCATCGGCGAGGCATTGACGATTCGGCGCGATCCTCTGACCCCATCTGTTCCTGCCCCATACGGGAGGCTTCTAGAAACAGTTGTAGCGCCGAAGTGGGTACGGAGAACATTGGGTACAACGCCCAACAACAGCTGCTGTCCAGAGCCGACAGCGGCCGCTATTGTGCAGGCGCCCCGCTGTTTCAAATGGACAGCGTCCGCGGCGACACCGACAGCAAGTCCTGTTCGGAATGACCAGCACATGCTGGTTGCCCCTGCATGTGGCCATTCTCTCCGTACCCAGCTCGACCGCCCCGGTTGCCACGCCAGGCTCTCCGGGCCTCCCAAGGCTGCCTGGGCGGAGGGGCCTGCTTTCCACCACCACCACCACCACCACCACCACCACCACCACCACCACCACCACCACCACAGGCAGGACGGGGGAGAAGAGAGGGTTGGGAGGTCCTCCCCGTCCTCCCCCTCCTCCTCCTCCTCCTCCTCCTCCTCCTCCTCCTCCTCCTCCTCCTCCTTCTCTTCCTCCTCCTCGTCCTCCTCCTCCTCCCTCCTCCTTCTTCTCCTCCTCGTCGTCGTCCTCCTCCTCTTCCTCCTCCTATTCCTCCTCCTCCTCCTCCTCCTCCTCCTCCTCTTCCTCTCCTCCTCCTCCTCCTCCTCCCTCTTCTCCTCCTCCTCCCTCCTCCTCCCCCTCCTCCTCCTCCCCTCCTCCTCCTCCTCCTCCTCCTCCTCCTCCTACCTGTGCCAGCGGTGGTGGCACGTCGGCCCCTGCAGAGCCCGCCAGGCCCCGCGGGGCGAGCGGCGCGGCGGCGCGCAGCCGCCCCCCCGGGGCAGCGCCTCCGCGCGCCGAGGCCGTGGCCCTGCCGGGCGAGGTCCCCGGGCCGGCGTCCAGGACGAAGGCCCTGCAGGCCTCCCCCCCCCCGCGGCGCTCCCCTGCGCGCCGCCGCGGCCGGCGGCCGGGCACGCCTCCTCCGCGCGCCCTCCGCGCCTCGGGTCAGAAGAGCCTCCTAGCGCCTCCTCCTCCTCCTCCTCCTCGTCCTCCTCGTCCTCCTCCGCCTCCGCCTCCTCCTCCTCCTCCTCCGTCTCCTCCTCCTCCTCCTCGTCCTCCTGCGCGCCGCCGCGGCCGGCGGCTGGGCACGCCTCGTCCAGGGGTGGTAGGGCGACCAGGGTGAGCACTGTGAGGATGGGGACAGGCGCGCGCAGAGGGTAGCGACCACTGCAAATGTCTGCGAGTATGTGCGTTATAACCGACACAGGATACGTAGCACCCCGCAATTGCGGATAAGAGTGAGGGGGCGGGCGCGGGCGACGCGGGCGTCGTCGAGCCGGCGGACCTCGTGGCCCCCACCTTCCCTGTCGATGGCGATCTCCTCCTCCTCCTCCTCCTCCTCCTCCCCCTCCTCCTCTTCCTCGTCCTCGTCCTCATCGTCATCGTCATCCTCCTCCTCCTCGTCCTCCTCCTCCTCCTCTTCTTCCTCGTCCTCCCTCTCCCCCCCTCGTCCTTTCATCATCGTCCACCCATTGTCGTCCTCCCCCTCATCGGCCTCCATCATCGTCCTCCCATTGTCGTCCATCATCATCATCCTCCCCCTCCTCCCCCTCCTCGTCCTCCTCCTTCCCCTCCTCCCCCTCCTCCCCCTCCTCGTCCTCCTGCTCCTCCTCCTTTTCTCTCTCCACATTATCCTTACATCCTCTCTTCTTCCGCGTTCTCCTCGTCCCCTGTTTACTCCTCCTGCCTCCCCCTCCTTTCCCAAGATAACTGCAACGCAGTCCTTTTTCCACTTTATGCTCCCCGCCTTCTCTGATCAAGGCAACTCGCCAGGGCAAAGTTGCTGGACGGGCTGGTGTGGATGCGCGGGGCTTGAAGAGGTCCTTGCGGGCTCAGACGGCATGCGAAAATCCGCCGCCGCGCTTGTGCGGCATTGGTTTGTTCAGTGAACGTGGTTTAGGTCGCGGGTGGGTCGCGGGCTCTCCACCTCCACCTGGAAGGAATGCAAAAGCAGCCCGCCGCAGGCGCCAACAAAAATTGGTTTGTACACTGAACGTGGTTTGGGTCGCGGGTGGGCCGCGGGTTCTCCACCGGGAACGAATGCAAAAGATGCCCGCCGCAGGCGCCGAAACATGTAGTTTGTACCCTGAACGTGGTCGCGGATGGGCCGCGGGCTCTCCACCTGAAGCGAATGCAAAAGATGCCCGCCGCAGGCGCCGAAAAATGTGGTTTGTACCCTGAACGTGGTTTGGGTCGCGGGTTGGTCGCGAGTTGGTCACGGGGTGGGTCGCGGGCTCTCCACCTGGAAGGAATGCAAAAAAAGACCGCCGCAGGCGCCGAAAATGGTGGTTTGTACCTTCAACGTGGTTTGGGTCGCGGGTGGGTCGCGGGTGGGTCGCGGGGTGGCGGGTGGGTCGCGGGTGGGTCGCGGGTGGGTCGCGGGTGGGTCGCGGGTGGGTCGCGGGGTGGGCCGCGGGCGGGTCGCGGGGTGGGTCGCGGGTGGGTCGCGGGTGGGTCGCGGGTGGGTCGCGGGGTGGGTCGCGGGGTGGGTCGCGGGTTGGTCGCGGGTTGGGTCGCGGGTGGGTCGCGGGTGGGTCGCGGGGTGGTTCGCGGGTTGGGTCGCGGGTGGGTCGCGGGGCGGGTTGCGGGTGGGACGACGACAACAAACAACAACAACAAACAACGACAACAAACAATAACAACAACAACAACAACCAACCAACCAACCAACCAACCAAACAAACAAACAAACAAACAAACAAACAAACAAACAAAGAACAACAACAACAACAACAACAGCAACAACAACGAGAATCCGCACCGCGGAATTCCACTTCAGCCACGCACCCAGGGACAGTGAATGACCGTTCGGCCCCCTCACTCTGATCACTTCAGTGCACGCATTGCTAGTATGGCGCATCGTTCTTGGTTGTTTTTGGTTTCCAATCGTGGGGACCTTGTATGCTCTCTCAACTTTCGCGTCGACTGGCGTCGACTTGCGCCGGGTAGTCGATGAGAATGCGTCGATTTCGCGTCGATCTGGCGCCGGTTAGCGTCATCTCGCGTCGACCACTGTCGACCCGCAAGAGCCACCGAGATGGTATGTGAGTTCCCCACGAGTTGCCACAGAAGGTTGTTTCGCTCCGTCGTTTTCCCTCCTCTGTGTGTTTTCTGTTCCCCGCGCTTCATTCGTTCGGTTCCCGATCGTCCCTGTGCCAAGCGTTCAGGGTTTAGGGTTTCATCATGACCCGCCTCTAAATAGTAAGCCCCCCCCGGCGATTTGCACGAACCCCAAGCACACCAAAACCAATCATCGCCTTCCTGTTCCCTCACTTCCCTCCTCGGTTTCCTCTTCGGCGGCGCGCAGAAGGGGACGGTGCAGCGGGTGGGGGGGGGCGGCCTTTTGGGAAGGCAAGGCGCACCTTGCAGGCCCTCGGACCCGTGAGAGGCATCCTCCTCTGAGGCCCTCGGCTGACAAGCGCCGCGCCCTCTCGGAGGGCCGCTTCCTCGCCCCAGTCGCCGACTCCTCGCCCCACTGTTGCCCCTTCTGCGCCGACAGTCTTCGCCTTGGCATCGTTCGGACGTGTGCACTGTTCCTTCGGCGAGGACCATCGAGGAGCAGCCTTGATCATGTGGCGAAAAAAACACGCACGAAACCGAAAAAAAACACAGGACATGGACGTCCGAACGATGGCCAGTCGCCGTCCCTCGCCCCCTGCTCCTCCACGCCCGGCCGCAGGAGGCGGCCGAGCTCCGCGCCCAGAAGGAGCGCCCGCCCCCCGCTGCGACCGCGCCCCGCCCGCTCCGGCGGCCCCAGCGCCCCCCTCATGGGAGGCGGCGCCAGTGGGGACGACGTCGGGGACGCCTGACCCTCCGCCTCCCCCTCCCCCTCCTCCTCCTCCCCCTCCTCCTCCTCCTCCTCCTCCCTCCTCCTCCCTCCTCTCCCTCCTCCTCCTCCTCCTCCTCCTCCTCCTCCTCCTCCTCCTCCTCCTCCTCCTCCTCCTCCTCCTCCTCCTTCTCGTCCTCCTCCGCATCCTCCTCCTCCTCCTCCTCGTCCTCCTCCGCCTCCTCCTCCTCGTCCTCCTCGTCCTCCTCCTCCTTCTCCTCCTTGTTTTCCTCTTCCTCCTCCTCCTTCAGGTGATGGTCAGGCCTGTGCGCCGGAGGGCGAGCCCATGCAAGGCGCAGGCCGTTGCACTCGGCAGCGTGCGGGCGCCAAGATCCGACTTGCGGATCTCCGAGCGGGTTTCTTGGATCGGTGTTGAGCCCCCCCTGGCGGCGCTTTCGGCGCCGCCTTCTGCGCGCCAGTGAGTTGGGCCCATCGCGGATCCAACAAAAACCCATGGGCATCTCCGAAATGTCATGCGTATGCAGATTGCTGCTCCTCTTGACGGAGGGGTTGGGGCTGGCCCGGGGTAGGGGGGGCAGCATCGGCCCCAGGCCGCCCACGTATCGCCCATCGGGGCCCGCGTGTGCCCCCCCCCGCCCAGGAGCCCGCGGTTTCGCTGTCGAGGGCGCATCGCCCATCTCTCGGCGATGCACCGCCGAGTTGAAGGCAAGATTTCCCCCCCGTGAGGCAGTTCGCCACCCGGTCGTTGCCCCTCACGAGCGGCGGGTCGCTCAGACCGGGCACTGATGGCGGAGCTGTGTGCCGCATTCCCTCTTGGCCCCCCCAGGGGGAGGCGGGCCGAATCCGAGCTACGGGCGAGACACATGCACGCACAACACAACACACGCACAACATGCACGCGCGCGCACACACACACACACACACTCGCATGCATCGTCGAACCTCGATCCTCGAGTATCCCCAATCCTTTCACCCTCCCCCCATCCCTCCTCTGCATCCCTCCCTTCTCACCCAGCTATCCTTGAGCGTCAGTTTCCGCCAAATCCAGCCACCCCTGAGTGGCGGCAAGCTTCGCGACAGGTGCCGTGTCCGCGGCCTCCATCAGCGCCTACCCAGTCCACCACCGTTACTTCCCCTCCCCTCCTCCCCTCCTCTCGTCCTTTGCCTCGAGCCCCCTTCCTCCTCCCCCTCCTCCGCCCCCTACCCCTCCGCCTCCTTCTCCCCCTCCTCCTCCTCCTCCTTCTCCTCCTCCTCCTCCTCCTCCACGGAGCACGTATCCTCATTTCTGATCGTGCAGAACGCGATGACGACCTTGCCAAAACTCCAGTCCCGCTATGACACCCGGCTGCGGGTAGAGAAAGCACACCGGCGCATCGGCAGGGGACGGGCGGGAGGTTGGAGAGGCAGGATGACAGCCATGGCGTGATCGCACCCAGCTTGCCCCCTTCGCCTCGCCTCCCTCGTCTCCTCCCCCCCGTTTCGCCCCCCCCCCCCCCCCCCCCCCCCCCCGCCCCCCTGGTGGCCGCCAGGACCAGATGGAGAGGCAGCTGGCGGACACCGAGCGGCAGGCCAGCGAGGACGGGCTGCCGGCCCTCCCGCCAGTTTGTCCGTCGTCGTCGCGGCTGCCGTTGTTGGGTCGTCCTGCTCGGTTTTGGACCGCGGCTCGAGGCTCGAAGACCGAGGACCGAGGATCGAGGACCGAGGATCGCGGATGGAGGACCGAGGACCGAGGACCGAGGATCGAAGAGGAGGCGAACTTGGGCCCGAGGATCGAGGACCGAGGACCGAGGATCGAGGACCGAGGACCGAGGATCGGAGAGGAGGCGGAGAGCCTTTGGGGGGAAACCTGGCCCAGGGGTCGCCACGGTCCGACGCGCCTCCAAAGCCTGGTCAGCACGCGCCGCAGGACAGGTCGGGGCCTTCGTCCTCGTCGAGGGGCAGGAGGAAGGAGGAGGAGGAGGAGGAGGAGGAGGAGGAGGAGGAGAAGGAGGAGGATGAGGCGGAGGAGAAGAGAAGAGATAGGAATAGGATCAGGAATCGGAATAGGAACAGGGATAGGAATCGGAATAGAAATAGAAATATACATTGGGATCTGAATCGGAATGGGAATGGGCATCGGAAGAGGACTCGGAATCGGAACAGGAGGAGGAGGAGGAGGAGGAAGAGGAGGAGGAGGAGGAGGAGCAGGCCCTGCTGCGCACCTGGCCTACCCGAGACCCCGCAGGCCTTGGCGGCCGCGCGGCAGAGCCTCTCTGCCGCCCTCCAGCGCGGCAGCGCCGAGGCCTGGCGCACAGCCGTGCTGCCCAGGGGCGCCGCGGCGCGGCGGCTGCCTGCTGCCGCCGAACACGGCGCGCCGCCTGCGCGGCGCGGGCAGGCGCCGCGCGGGCCCGCCGGGGACCGGCCGCTCGGGACAGCTCTGGCGGACGGCGCGCGGCGGGAGGCCGACGGCGGCGGAGGCGCGCGCAGGGGGGCGGGGCGGCGGAGGCGCAGGCGCGCTGGCGCGCCGCCGGCGGCGCGGAGGGCGCGCCGGGCGGCGCATGGATGGCGCCGGCGGGCCGCGGAGGGCGGCCGGCGGGCGCGAGCCAGGCGCGGCAGCTGGCGGCCGGGGCGGCGCCGCGGGCCCGGCCAGGGCGACGGCTCGTGGAGGGCAGCGGGGCGGCAGCCCGGGGTGGCTGTTCTTGTGTCACCTGGGGAGGTGACGCATGTTACCTCCCCCCGCCGCCCCCCCCCCCACCCCCGGTAACGGTAGCGCCGGGGAACCGGCCACAGGCGTGAACCTTTGCAGTTTCCATCGGAGGAGGGGCGGGGGGGGGAGGAGGAGGAGGGAGGGGGGGGAGGAGGACGACGACGACGACCGACGTGGCCAAAAACCTCCGGATGTGCACAGGCATTGTGGTGCACGGGGTCGTTGTTGGGCACGCGGTTGCTGCTGGCGCCGCTGCAGCAGCTGGCGGTGTACACTTCGGTGTACACGAGCATCGACGTGCACGCGAACGTTCGGAGGTCCGCGTGGATTTGTTGGATCGGCGCTGGACCCGCCCCTCCGGCGCGCGGAGCGCGCTAGGGGCGGCGCCAGAGGCGCCGCAAGGGGGGTCCAGCGCCGGTCCTAGAAACCCGCGCGGACATCCGAAAGTTTATGTTCATGAAGTTTGTTCTTCCTCGACTCCCTCCCTCCCTCTCCCCCGTCGTCGTCGTCTTCGTCGTCGGTTGCCCGTCACCGGGGGTGGGGCCAATGCCCGTCGTCGTCGTCGTCGTCGTCGTCGTCGTCGTCGTCAGTTCTACGTCTCTGGAGGTCCCCAGAGGCCTCCGGAGGTCCCCAGAGGCGCCTCCGGGGACCTCCGGGGACCACCGGAGGCGCCTCCGGAGTTCCCCGGAGGCCTCCGCAGGCCCAGACGGACCAAACAACGCCAAAACAAAACGCACCGGAAAGCAAAATCCCGTCGTCGTCGTCGCCGACGACGACGACGCCCCTCCTCTCCCCTCCCTCTCCCCCGTGCACGCAGGCACTGTGGTGTGCACAAGCGCTGCGGTGCACGCGGCTGCCGCGGTGCACGCGGGCATTGCGGTGCACGCAGTGTGGCGCGCGCACGCAATGTGGTGAACGCGGCTGCTGGCATGCACTGGCGCTGTGGTGTACACAGGCGCTGTGGCGCAACAGAAGGATAACAGAGGAGGAGAAGGAGGATGGGGAGGGGGAGGAGGAGGAGGAGGAGGAGGAGGAGGAGGATGAGGAGGAGGAGGAGGAGGAGGAGGAGGAAGAGGAGGAGGATGGAGGCCAGAGGGAAAGAGGGAGTAAAGGGAGGGGCGGCGGAAGGGGGGAGGGAGGAGTATGTATTGTCGGCACAGGCGCTGTCGTGCACGCGTTGTGGTGCACAGGCGCTGTGGTGCACGCGGCTGCTGTGGTGTACGCAGGCAACGCGGTGTGCGCAGGCGCTGTGGTGCACTCGGTTTTTGTGGCGTGCGCAGGCGTTTTGGTATGCGGCGCACACGGCTGCTGTAGTGTACGCGGGCGCCGTGGTGTACACCGGCGCTGCACAGGCGCTTGGCGCGCCGGTGCAGCAGGCGTGCCTTGGGTGGTGGGGTGCACGCCGCGGCCGCCGTTACCGTTACCTCCCCCCCTGTTCCCCTTCCCCCCCCCCAGGTAACCTGCGTTACCTCCCCTGGATAAAAGAACAGTCTCGGGGTGGCGGCGCGGGGACTGCGCCGCTGGCAGGCCGAGGAGGAGGACGAGGAGGAGGCGGAGGAAGAGGAGAAGGGCGAGGAGGAGGACGAGGAGGAGGAGGAGGACGACGACGACGAGGAGGACGAGGAGGAGGAGGAGGAAGAGGAGATGACGACCGGACCGGGGAGCCATAATAATGATTCTGCGGATCCACGACACGAGCACGAGCATTTGGATCCCGCCTCTGCGCTGCCGGCGCGCCTGCCTTGAAACAGCTGCAGGCAACGCGACCACGGCCGTGCCAATGTTCACCTGGGGAGCCCGGCCGTGTCTCATTCCTGGACGCGGCAGCGGTGCGGCACCGTGCACCCTCCGCCTTCCGCCCCAACCATGGGGGTTTGGCGGGTGGGTGCGCGCGCTCCCATGTCGCGGCGGGCCTGATGCTTGCGCGGCCACCCCAGCGCCACCCATTCCCTGACGGGTCCTCCGCCCTCCACCCCCCTCCCCTCCTCGCCCCATCATTCCTCCCCTTCCCACCGGACCCCCGCCATTCTCGGGGGCCGAGGGGAAAGTTTGCAAGAGATTGGCGTGTGGGGCGATGCATCGACCCCCAATGACCCATTCATCGCCGAATGGGGGCCCGATATGGCCCACCCCACCCAGGAACGCGCGGATTTCCCATCGGGTGCCTAATTATCGCCGACCGATCGATCGGCATTGCACCTCCGATTCCAGGCCGATACTTCCCCCCTCTGGGCTGGTCCCCGCTTAGCGGTCCCCTCGGAGGGCGCAAACTACCCAGACCCCCTCGGTTAACAAAAACAAGGTTGGCGGTTGTTTCTGTTGTTTTCGGGATTTGGGGGCCCTTGCCAGGCCTCGGGACCGTCAAAACGCGATTCGGGGTCAGACACCTGTCCCCGGGGATGGCGATGCATCGCAGATTCCAGGTCGACGTTCCCCCCCCTCCTCCTCCTCCTCCTCCTCCTCCTCCTCCTCCTCCTCCTCCTCCTCCTCCTCCTCCTCCTCCTCCTCCTCCTCCTCCTCGGAACCAGTCCCCCCCCCTTGCCGTTCCCCCTCCGCCTTCGCCGCCAGGAGCTCGCGCAGCTGCGGATAGAGAACGCGCGGCTGCAGGCCCGCCCGCGCGAAAAGGGGGGAGAGGGGGGGGGCAATTAGAGATCGTGCTCCCGTTCTACCCTCATCCTTGGCATCGCTCGGACGTGTGCATTGTTCCTTCGGCGAGGACCACCGAGGAGCATCCTTGACCATTTGGCGCAAAAAAAACACGCACGAAGCCGAAAAAAACGCAGAGGATGGACGCCCGAGCGATGGCCAGTAGCTCGCCTTCTCCCTTGTGCGCCCCCCTCGTCGCCCGGCCGCCGCGGCGAGGGCAGGGCAGGTGGCCGCGTCTGAACGACACCAGGGCCGAGGGCGAGCGAGAGGAGGAGGAGGAGGAGGAGGAGGAGGAGGAGGAGGAGGAGGAGGAGGAGGAGGAGGAGTCCGTAGCCTGGCTCAAGCCGTTGCCTGGGGCCTTCGCCTTCCCTGGGGTTGGGGCTCGAGCTGGTCAGAGACCCGCACGACCCTCGATCAGTGGCCCTGCCCAGGGTGAGGGTCCGTCATTTCATTATACCGGCCACACCTCGTGGCTCAAGATTCCTGTGCGAGTTCTCTCATGGCTTGGGGAGAGCATGCGGCAGGCGGGCACCAGGAGAGTGTATCTTGGGCTGACGAGCGCGGCAGCAACAAGCGTGGAGGCTCGAAGGGGCCCCATCGGAGGTGGCAGTGTCAGGCTTGCGGCTGCAAGAAGAACGTTTGGAGCTCCTGGCACTGTGTTCACTGTCGCGCTGCCTGGAACGAGCCCATCGGCGAGGAGGAGGGCAAGTTCGCGACGGACGGCACGCCCCGCTCGGTCGGATTGCAGCTCCCGCCTGGCCTGGGCCACGGCGATGCGCAGCTCTCGGTGGACGAGATTCAGCAGCTCATCGGCCTCGGCTCCAAGACGGGCGACCACGCTCTGGTCACCAAGTACCAGAAGTTGCTGGAGTACAAGCAGAAGGAGGCGGTCCAGCCGAAGGAGCCGCCGCTGCAGGTGCGGGCGCACAGAGCGCACGCCCAGGTCGTGCACCTTGAGAAGGTGCTCGAGGCAGCGATCGACAAGCTGGAGCGGCAACGCCAAGCGGTCGCGGACCAGGAGTCGGAGGTCCAGCTGCTGCAGACGAAGCTCGGCGAGGCGGACGACGAGTACAAGGGCCTGCTCAAGGCCATGTACAGCCAGGCCCACAGCGACCAGCCCGCGGTGCCGAAGATCAAGTTGGAGCAGCTGTTGGCAGGCGACACGTCGTGCATCGACCTCGACGGCTGCGACGACTTCTTCGGCCTCGCGGACATATACGAGTTCACCGGCTCGGACAAGAAGGAGGCAGCTGCCAGGAAGGAGCAGCTGCGAAAAGGCGTGCAGGAGATGGCGAAGCAGCTCTTCGGTGAGGCAAAGGAGACAGCAGAGAAGTTGCGGCAGGAGCACTCCGCGCACGTCAGCAGGCTGCAGAAGAAGCGGAAGGGCGCCGAGGGCAACCCCGAGGGTGGTGTACAGCGTGGGGCGGAGCCGCCTGGCGGTGCTGCTCCTCCAGCTGCTGCTGTTGCTGGAGGCCCTGACGCCCGCGACAGCCCTGAGCGAGGCTCGGGCGGTGGTGGAGCCACGGCCAGATCACCCAAGGTGGATGTGCGTGCGAGGGCCGCCGAGGCTCTTGGCAGCCAGGGAGGAGGAAGCGGTGCTGGAAGGGAAGCTGGAGGCGTCCCAGGCACGCCTGGGGCGGCAGGTGGGGCCCAGGGGAAAACGTCTGGTGGGTAGCAGCCTGCTTTGCCCCACCAGCTGGTGGGGCAATGCGGGGGCGGGTCCGTCGCGGCCGCCTGGGATTTTCTTTCGGTCCCTGGTCTGGCCCCCGCCCCCGCCGACATCCCATCCCCCCGATCTGCCGTCCCCAGCTCTTCCCCCTCCCCCTAGTGCCAGGCCTCTTACAGGGCCACAAGTAGTTCGTAAGATTAGGGCTGCCCAGCCAGGGCAGAGCAGGGATAAATCGTCCAGGTCTAGCCAGGGAGAGTTTTTCTGTCTAGAAACCTGTAATACCACGGCTTGGTCCTCGGCGAAGCAGTTTCTCCAGGGGGAAGCATCGAGTCAGATCGTCATGCTTCAGGAACTAACTGTTGACCCGTCGGATCGTGTTGAGTGTGAAGCCCAGTTGAAGAAGCTAGGCTGGCAGGCGTCGGTTCACCCGTCGGAGGTCACCGAGGCAGGAGGCCTGTCAGGAGGCGTTACGGTTGTGTGCAGGGACTTCGTCGGGCTGGGCTTGCCGCCGACGGACGTCAAGCGCTTGCCTAGCCCGCATCGCCAGCAGCTGATGTGGGTCAACGCGTATGTGCCAGGGGGGCTCATCGTTGGGTCCATCTACTTGCCCGACCAGGACCCATTGGGGCCCACGGGGAGCCAAATTTTGAGTACAGTCGGAGAGCAGTTACATTCTTGGGGCCTACCATTTGTCCTTGGAGGTGACTGGAACGTTTCACCAGATAGACTCCAGGAGCTGGGGTGGGCTGGTCGTCTTGGGGGACAGATTGTGAAGCCAGACACGTACACGTGTAGGTCCACCGCCAAGGTCTGGAAGACTATCGATTATTTTGTGATGTCTGCAGGTCTGGCGGCCAGCGTCCATTCTTGTGCCATCAGTAGGAAGGCGTCCACGAAGCCGCACTGGCCTGTCGTGGTCAAGTTTCGCAGCGAGCCCTTGAGCGCGCTGGTCCAGTCGCTCCGCCAGCCGAGGGCGTTCCCGCAGGACAGTGTGATAGGACCCATGCCAGAACCACTCGATTATCGGGAGCTCCTGGACTCTGCTCGATCGGTTGGGGATCGTGAGTCGTTGGATGCGTGCTATCGGTTGTTCGTCGAGTCGCTGGAGCGTGAGCTTGGGACCTATCACGGAGTTTTGGGGCTGAAGCAGTATTTTGGTAGGGCGGAGGAGCCTACCATTGTGAAAGTATCAGCTGTCAGGACGTCTGGAGGTCGGTATCCCGTCGGATGTCCTGAGAGTCGAGGGTGGCGTCGTGTTTCCAAGCTTTTCTCGGAGCTGGTTTACATCAAGAGACGGGGACTCAGGTGGGGTGAGGGCGAGTCTATGGGGCTTCTGAAGGCGGTCGAGTGGGGACCCAAGCAGTTGCGCAAAGACGAGTCCTGGCAGCAGTGGGTCCCGTCTTTTGGAAGTATGTTTCACGCCTCCCTCGAGCAGTTGCAGGCCTGGGGCGTTGAGGCTGAAGGCTTCGCCAAAGTGTACGAACGCAAGTTTACCGCGGAGCGTGGCAAGCGTTGGCGAGAGTGGGTGCAGGAGGCTGTATCCGCAGGCGCTGGCCAGGCGCACAAGTATTCGCAGGGCCCGATCGGCTGGGTTCCCCCTGAGTCCAGCACGGTCAAGGCAGGAGTTTTCTCGGTCCCGCTGGGGCCTCAAGAGACGGTTGACGGGCTTACCAAGTTCTGGTGCGACATCTGGGAGCCCCTCCCAGAGGCCTCGAGGTTCCCCGATCCCATCCAGTTCCTGACGCACCAGATCCAGTCCCAGGCTGACGAGCAGGGGGTCTCGGTCCAGGAGCTTTGTTCGGAGGAGCGGTCCGTGGGGGACATCAGGGTTGCCATCAGGAAGTTTCCGAAAAGGACGGCGGCTGGAGTGGATGCGCTTCGGCCTCGGGATCTGGACAAGGCCTCGGATGGCCTTCTGGAGGTATTAGGTGCGCTGTGGCCTAAGATGGAGCTCTTGGGCACCTACCCCACCATCCTCCTCACCACCATCCTTGCCATGCTGGGGAAGCCCGAAGGAGGTTTTCGCCCGATAGCTCTGCTGCCCACCCCAACGCGCGTTTTCTCTAAGCTGTCGCGGGGCGAGATAAAGCGTTGGGAGCGTGATAATAATCGTGCCTATCTGTACGGTGTGCACGGCAAGAGCTGCGAACGGGCGGTTTGGGAGCAGAGCTTGACGGTCGAGCAGCATGTTAGTGTAGGTGGCTGTTCAGGCTCGTGCCTCGTGGACCTCACAAAGGCCTACGAGAAGGTCTGCCACTATCTGCTGGCCGTCGCGGCCGTCAAGCATAAGTTTAGTCTGGTGAAGCTGCGCCTTTTGTTGTCGCTCTACCGCGCGAGAAGAATCATCAATGTGTGTGGAGTGGTTGGAAAACCCGTGCAGGCGTTCCAAGGGATCCTGGCAGGCTGTGGGTTTGCGACTACGCTTTTACGTGTGATGCTCATGGACCCCATGGACCGCACCAGGGAGCTTTACTGTAGCGTGCAGTTGTTCAATGTAGTAGACGACATCACGGCGCAGGCTTCGGGCAGTAGGAAGCATGTCGAGAGTGTCCTGCCCCGAGCGGTGTACTTTCTGTGCCTGCAGCTCGAGAAGCTGCTGCTGGTGATCTCGAGGTCGAAGGGCCTCGTCCTTTGCAGTCACTCGGCGGCGAGGGCGACCATTGTGTCTAGGCTTCAGAAGTGGAATTTTACTGGCGCCAGCTCTGGGCGGAACCTGGGCTGCGACCAGATGATGCAGAAAGGAGCCAAGGGATCCAAGGTCCTCCAAAAACGGTTGCATAAAATCAGGCTTCGAAGGCGCAGGCTCCGAGGGCTCAGCAGTGCCAAGAAAGGGTTGTTCAAGGTTGCTCGGACGGGAGGCCTTCCCTCGGCCACTTACGGTTGCCGTGTCAATGGCATGTCCACTTCCGCTCTTGGCCAGCTTCGGGCCAGTCTGGGAAGTGCGCTCTTTGGGACTCCAAAAGGGAGGTGCAGGACGTTGGAGTTTCTCCTCTCGGTGGAGCCCAAGGCGGATCCTTCATACGACGTGCATGCGCTGCCCATCCTTACCTGGGGACAAGCCGCTCGCTTGAGCTGGGCGGAGCAGCGTGTCATGGAGGAGTGTTTCAACTCGTTTTACCGCCGACCTGCTCGTGGGTGGCAAGATGTCCGCGGACCCGCGGGTGCAGTGGTCCTCACGATCGAAAGGCTGGGTTGGCAGGTTAAAAGCTGGTGTAAGTTTGTGACGGTTCGGGGTGTTGAAGTTGATGTGAGCTTCTTGGGACACAGGTCGCTCAAGGCTGTTCTTCACCAG